AAGCAGACAACACCCTCCGAAAACTTTATAATTACTAAAATTCGGCTCGGCTTAATTTGCGCAACATGCACTGATTTTTCGGTTTGGTTCGAGCTGCAAAAATCGTGGCGCCCGGCGAGATTCAGCGAGGTCCCACGATTTTTATCCAGACGAGGTTTCAGTTGTTGTGTTCAAGACTGCCAACCTCCTCTTAAGTATCAAGATTAAACTTAAGCATTAAAAATCCATAGAGCAACTCTGTCCATATTTTCAATTCCTATCTCCAAGTGGGCTTTCTCAGTTCCTTTGCAGTTAATGGCTCCACTCCCTCCTCTCCGTTACGAACCCCGAAATCTGAGCTACCACCGGGAATCTCATCCTTCCCCTCGCCTCCAGCCCTCTACTTCCCATTCCCAATCACTGGAACTCTCCTCCCGACCAGGCCAAGCCGAGTCCGGATGAGACAAGGAAGCTCATTATGCAGTGGGCACGAAAGCGTTTCTAATGATACGTAGTGACAGTGCGGCAAAATGAAGCGATCTGTACGCATGACTTTGTGCCCATCAGTAAATAAATTACTGCAATAGCAAAAATTTCAGTGACTGAAAGGTTAACTGACCAACACTTGAAAGTGATAAATTTCTCCACTGGCAGCATATGCGCCTCCAGTTTTCGATGATAATCTCTTTCACATCGCTTGAGAAGCAAGGTGAAGCAAAACACCGAAAGTCCTAGCACTGCAGTGAGAGACACTGGGCTTATTTACTGAAATTTTCTGCTGATGCCATATCCAAATATTCTTGTGCATTCCATGCAGACCATAAGGTTGAATAAGCCGATGAAAACATACCAAAAAACGACCAAATACGAAGTGGCAACGTAAACATACATAACGACCAGCTGGTTAATCATCGGTAAAATTTCGAGGAGAAATATATGCTAAATGATGAGGGCATTTGGCGCAAATGTCCCGGTGCACGAATTCCCCGTCCGAATTGTTCTTCGTCAGTGATTCATCAGCATTCAATTGTTTTCCCTAAAAGAAATTCACATTTTTCGCAAATTTTTAGCTAGAATATTGCATTATAAAAGTGCAGACAGTACACAACATCCTCAGACACTTCGATTCAGCCAGCTCTTCTTGCTCGAGGCGATTATTTTCTTTTTTTCTTATTTTTTAAAGAGCATAATGCAACAGTATACTCGCTGGCCGAATTGAAATATGAGCGAGCTGAGGAGGAGGAGGGAACGGGGTTGTTGATACGTTTTGATACGCTCAGAGGCACGATGCCACCGCAAAAAACAAAATCCATCTGATGAAATGTGTTGCTTACATTCCAGTGAAATGTGTGTACGAGAAATTGACCCCTTTTTCGTGTAGAGATGACTAGCTTGCATAGTTCCAGCAGTGCAAATTAACTGGAAAGGTACCGTTCAGGGCAGAAAGTATGTTGCAACCAGCAGTGCTTCGCGTCAATGGATGATGCTAACATCATTAGTGATATCGGACTTCCGCAACGTTGTCAAAGCGATTTGAGCGGAAAATGCTTCTCATTTTTCGCGCAGTTCACCGCATCCATCATTATGAGCAGAGCTTTTGCGCGGTTTAGTTCAGCTGGAAACGAGATTAAATGTGCAAAATCATAACAAATAAGTTCTGGTAATAAAAAGCATTTTAGTAGCAAAAAAAAAAAGAAGTTTCTGCAATGAACAGTTAAAGTGTTACAATTTCAAAATCGGTGCTGAAATTTTGACTTACAAGAAGCAAGG